AGTGAAAAGTCATCTTTAAACTCACACATGAGAGTCCACACAGGAGACAAACCATTTCCTTGTGATGTTTGTGGACAAAGATATAGCCAAATGTCAAATTTAAACAGACACATGAGAGTCCACACAGGAGACAAACCATTTCCTTGTGATGTTTGTGGACAAAGATATAGCCAAATGTCAAATTTAAACAGACACATGAGAGTCCACACAGGAGACCAACCATTTCCTTGTGATGTTTGTGGGCAAAGATTTAGCCATAAGTCATCTTTAGACAGACACACGAGAGTCCACACAGGAGACAAACCATTTCCTTGTGATCTTTGTGGACAAAGATTTAGCCATAAGTCATCTTTAGACAGACACACGAGAGTCCACACAGGAGACAAACCATTTCCTTGTGATCTTTGTGGACAAAGATTTAGCCATAAGTCATCTTTAGACAGACACACGAGAGTCCACACAGGAGACAAACCATTTCCTTGTGATCTTTGTGGACAAAGATTTAGCCATAAGTCATCTTTAGACAGACACACGAGAGTCCACACAGGAGACAAACCATTTCCTTGTGATCTTTGTGGACAAAGATTTAGCCATAAGTCATCTTTAGACAGACACACGAGAGTCCACACAGGAGACAAACCATTTCCTTGTGATCTTTGTGGACAAAGATTTAGCGTAAAGTCATTTTTAAACACACACATGAGAGTCCACACAGGAGAGAAACCATTTCCTTGTGATCTTTGTGGACAAAGATTTAGCTGAAAGTAATCTTTAAACACACACGAGAGTCCACACACGAGACAAACCATTTCCTTGTGATGTTTGTGGACAAAGATTTAGCCATAAGTCATCTTTTAACAGACACATGAGAGTCCACACAGGAGACAAACTATTTCCATGTGATCTTTGTGAACAAAGATTTAACCAAAAGGCATCTTTAAACACACATGAGAGTCCACACAGGTGACAAACCACCTGATTTTACTTATTTAACTGTGTGATTTTATTGTGTTTTTGTATTCAGTTTTTATTTTTATGTGTTCAGCACTTTGTTTCAGCATTGGCTGATATTATAGCGCTTTATAAATAAAGTTTGATTGATTGATTGATTGACCATTTCCTTGTGATCTTTGTGGACAAAGATTTAGCCGTAAAACAAATTTAAACAGACACGAGAGTCCACACAACAGAGAAATCAGACTCACTGTAAATATTAAAACAGCTCCTACATGAGGTCCCACAGGAGTTTTATGGAGGACTTAAAATAACATAATTAATAAAGGGGCAAGATTATGTGTTTCTCAGGCATATATTTAAATTCTATATCATAATAAAGTAATTATTTCACCTTCAATTTGTTATAAAATGTTACCTATATGTTTAAATATAAAATAAACTTGACTTCACATCATATCCAGAATTAAATTAANACAAAACAATGATCCGACCATAAGACTGAGACAGGACAGGGTTTAAATACACAGAAAACTAATGACTAAACAGAAAACACCTGAGGAGAAACACAGGGGTGACAATCAGACTAATAAGGAACAGCTGGGCAGAGACACACTGGGGAACATAGAAAACACTAGGAAAAGCAAGGAGAATGAATACAGACTATGACACCACACAGGAGACAAACCATTTCCTTGTGATGTTTGTGGACAAAGATTTAACCAATAGGCAAATTTAAACACACACATGAGAGTCCACACAGGAGACAAACTATTTCCTTCTGATGTTTGTGGACAAAGATTTAGCGTAAAGTCATTTTTAAACACACACATGAGAGTCCACACAGGAGAGAAACCATTTCCTTGTGATCTTTGTGGACAAAGATTTAGCCAAAAGTCATATTTAAGCACACACATGAGAGTCCACACAGGAGACAAACCATTTCCTTGTGATCTTTGTGGACAAAGATTTAGACATAATTCATCTTTA